AAAAAAAGGGGGGGGGGGGGAAGAAAGAAAAGCAGCGTTTGTCTTGCATTATAGAGGTTGAGAATGCTTGATATTTGTTTTCCCAGGCTACTCTTCATCTAAGATGTGAGCATGGGCCGTCTTTCTAAATCAAACATATTTTCTTCAAACTTTGAATAAGAAGTTACTGATTCAAAGAGCGGACCCTGGAGAAAAACACTTTTGGTGATGGGTAGTGGCAGTTGTGACTTTTAATGCCCAGAACCAGAAGAAATAGCAGAATGATACGTGGAATTTAGTGGTAGAAACAGCGGTGACTTCTATGAGTTGGTTTTTGTGGCTTGGCCATGGCTTCTTGCCCTCATTTCTACCTGTTCTCCAACTCAGAGAATTGTGAGCAGTCCTTTAACTTTTTGAATTAATTCCCTCTGTCTTAAAATGAGGGTTGGTTTCTGTTGTTTGCAATCTCAAACCCTGATGAGTATGCGCCCTGTGATCCTCTCTCTATTCTATTTTATGGCTATATTGGAGCACTTCCCCGATTTTCTTTCTCTTTCAGGCCTTCCTGATACCCTTCTCATTCTGATCCTCTCTTTCCCGGAATCTGCACTCCTTAGGGTGTAGGGGAACCCACAGGGTGATACACCTTGTAGTCGTGTTACAGCCTGACCTGGTTCTTACGCCTGCTACGTGGAAAAGAGCCAATGTCCTGAGGGAGCAGTGTTGCACTAGAGAAGGAGTTTAATAATTGCAAAGCAGCCGAGCAAGAGGGACAAAAGACATTTCTAAAATCTGCCTCCCTGAGAATTTTAGAGGAGGGTTTCTTAAAGGAATAATTTGATGGGAGAGGGCTGGGAAATGGTTGCTGCTAATTGGTTGAGGGTGGAGTCATCAAGGTGTTGAAACTGTCTTTGTAAACCGGGCTCGGTGGCTCAGCCTATAATCCTGAGCTTTTGGGAGACCGAGGTAAGTGGATTGCCTAAGCCTGCAGGTTCGAGATCTGCCTGGGCAACTTGGCAAGACCTCATCTCTACAATAAATCAAAAAAATTAGCTGGGCATGGTGGCACGTGCCTGTAGTTCCAGCTACTTGGAAGGCTGAGGTGGAAGGATCGCCGGAGCCCAGAGGGTCGAGGCTGCGGTGACCGGGAGCGGCCACTGCACACCAGTCCGGGAGACGGAGTGAGACTCCAACTCGAAAAAAAAAAAAAAAAGAAAAGAAACTGTCTTCGTGCCAGTTTCTGGATGAGAGGCAGTCAAAGGACCCTTGAGTCAGCTCCTTGGTATGGGTTGTGGGTTCAGATAAGGTCTGTTAGTCCCCCAGAATGCAAAATCTGAAAAGTATCTCCAAGATCAGTCTTAGGCTTATGTGATCTCTATGAGCTGTTGAGGAAGTTACAAATCGTGTGAGCAATGGTTGTTTAACTATGGAAGGTATGTGGGAGACTGATCAAAGCTGTTTATGTCCTTCTGCTGATCAAACTTCCAGATGCCATCAAGGAGTTCTGTATGACACAAGGGATCATTGTTCTTTAAAAGAAAATGAGCTCATCAACCTTGCAAGCAACTCCCTTTTTCCCCAAGGGCCAGGGCATGACAGCATTCAGGCCCCTATCACAATTCTAACCTTGTGGTCTTTTATTAATTTCAAGAAGGTGTTTTTACGATGTCAGTTGCAGTCATGCATCTTACGTTGAGAGCTAGCTCTCTGCCACTTTCTTGCATACAGGTTATTGAATGATATGTAAAATAGAGGCCGTGATAGATAAAGAGATGAAGCTCATCCACAGATTTTGTGATGTTATGTTTTATTTTATATTCTTTAACAATTTTATTGCCCGCTATGCCGAGATTGTGCTCTCAAATGGTGTGCATTTGTTTCTAGGCAATCTCCTTTGTTGAACTGTTGCATGACACAACTTCAGTTGTTTAGAGATTCGAAATCCCAGAAGGCTTTAGTTTTAATGACAATTCGCCCCACCCTTCAGTCTCTGAGAGTTAAAAATTCACATAAGAGGCCTGTCTAATTCCTGATGTTTTCCATTTTAGTACTTGTGCTGCTTTCTCCCAACCAAAATTCTAACTAATTTAGAATTTATGGAATAGTTACCATGCTGGCATTTAAACTTATTTGGTGGTAAATGTGGCAAAGCTTTCTTTAAATACTACAAGGAGAAAAATTCTAACAAAAATCATTTTATGGGCTTTCAATTTTTTTAAAAGCAGTAATTTTTGAACACTAAAAACACAGCAAAGTGTCACACTTAAAGTCAGACTTTAGGCAATTAGTTTGCGTAGTTAAATCTTGTTCAAAAACCAGAAAAACAATTTTGCGTGCTTTAAAAAAAAATCCAGATGCTGACTTAGTGTCATAAAGTATACTATATTATGATACAAAGAAATCACTGACTTCTACACAAAATGAGATCCCTTGTCGCACTTACACAACTTATACCTTGGAAATGAAGTAGCAATTTAAAGACAGACAAAAGCTCCACTCAAATATTTTCTTTTTTTTTTTTTTTGAGTTGGAGTCTCACTCTGTCACCCGGACTGGAGAGGAGTGGCATGCTCCCGGCCACCGCAACCTCGCCCTGCTGGGCTCCGGTGATCCTTCCGCCTCAGCCTTCCAAGGAGCTGGAACTATAGGTGCACGCTACCACGCCCAGCTAATTTTTATTTATTGTAGAGACGAGGTCTTGCCAATTTGCCCGGGTGTGTCTCGAACCCGCGGTCTCAGGCAATCCACTCGCCTCGGCCTCCCAAAGTGCTAGGATCACAGGTTGAGCCACTGAGCCTGGCTTATTTTCTGTTTGTTAAAGAGAAAAGCACAATATTGCATAGACCGTTAGAGATGGCTCT